AAAAGCCTCTCATTTCAAAGAGTGGCGAAGAGGAAAGGAAATTGGAAATACTAAAAGCAGCTCAATGTTATATATATGTCTATCAGGTATATACACAATATATAAATATAATAAAACGTTGTGTTTTTGTTCTGTCCTCTCATGATATTATATAGTTCCTTGGGCAAGCAGTACCTTATTTTCAAGGAATGTATTGAGACAGTAGAAGTCTCTGGTTTGGGTATTTGACTGGGTGTGTTTGGAGATTGTGTGTGTTGGGGGGGGGGCGGGGACAAAGAAAAACAGGCAATCATTGTTAACTTGACCATCCTCACACAACTTGTAGCAGATACAGGACTTCAGGGGTGAGTCACTGGAAATGTTCAGGAGTTTGATACTGTTCCCCTCCTGAGCTACGGATTGATCGCAGCACCCGACTCAGATCCGCAAACTCACAACAGGACAAGGAATCGATTCTGTGACCTTCCCATATGTCTGTCTCAAAGTCACACCACATGATCCATCCACCCTCCCACTCAGATATTGGCATGACTATCTAATGCTACAGTGTTTGGAATTTTATTCAGAAAACACGTCTCACAAAGAAATATTCTGCTGGGCTTTACTTTGCTCCAGTTTTCATACCAGGAATAACATACAATCAAACACAGTTTCCCACATTTTCCAACAAATGATGACTTTGTAATTTATACATTTAGACATTGGAATATACAATATCAACTTGCACTGTCAATGCCTCTGTGTTTGTTTCTGCCCCACAATGTTCTACATTACCAGCCACATCTTTTACCTGTGTTGCCAGCTAACCCTAACACACCAATTGCTTTCACAGTGTAAACTCGAGGGCTGGGGAAGGGGGAAAGAATATCTTGTGTGTGGAATGTATAATACCAATTAACAGATGGTCAAGGGATAAATTACAGATAGCTATGAGTCGGTCTTTCATCAGTTGAGTCTTGAGTGCATTCTCATGACTCCGTCATTTGTGCACAAACTAACCCCAAACCAAATCTGGACAAATACACATCTGTAACAGACCTGCAACCATCTGTTATTCTGCATATTAAATAAAAGTTTTGAACTTCATATGTCGCTAAATCAAGATGGGCATCTTGTTCTAATAAAAAGGGTTCACTTCCACCATCATGTATCCGTCCTGATCACAAAAACATCTTGAATCTTTTCAATTACCCATCTATCGCCAGTCTCCACTACTGGTGTCCAATTATTCTATGTGAGCCAACTCCACCATCATTACCCATTCAGCACGATGCTAAATAGGCATGTTCTACCGGATGCTTTACTCTCATCACATGCGCCCACCGTGATTTAATACTACATAATCTATTCGCTGTAATCAACCAGCATGATTCTGTACTGCAATCCCTCCAAAACATTCCCCATCCATTCTCACACACCATTGCACTTCCATTGTTTGTCAACACCAATAATCAAAACAATCATTGTAATTTAACAGAACACCTAATTGTTTCCAGTGATGAACCTGAGTAAACACTAACTTTATACAAAGTTGCAGAAGGTAAAGCATGGTAAATGGTCTGCAGGAAGTGTAAAGGGTTCTAATACAGGTTTGCTATGGATAAACATGCATGTCTACAAAAACAATCCTACACATATAACAATAACAACAACAAATTATATTCGTATAGAGCTTTTCACATCAGGAAGACATCCCAAGCTACTGAACATACATAGAAATGACTGCACAGAAGGCCTTGCCGGCATCAGTTCCTACAGTGGAATCCCAATTCCCTGCTCCCTCCTCATGCCCTTTTACACTGTTCCTCTTTAAATGTTACTCCAATTCTATTTTAAATGATGTTGGTACCTCACCTTTACCAGTTACCTGTGTCAAAGTATGCAAGTTCCAACAACCATCTATCAAAGTGTTTCTTCCAATATCCACCTCAACTCTTCCAATGACAATACTAATTTAATAGTATCAATTTAATATGACCCTGGTTACCAATTTCCAAGCCAGCAGGCAGAATCGCTCTCAGATTATCTTTTCAAGCCTTTTCAGAATAATGTAGATTTCTTTTAGATTCACTCTTAACTTCTGTTTCAGTCAAATGAGCCCAATTTTCCAAGTCCAATATCATACATATAAACCCAAACCCTTGTGAACCTACGTTGTATCCTTTCTGTGGTTCTCATCTCCTTCCTATGGTGGAGAACTCAAGATTGCAACATTCTCCAAAGGTGACATGCGCAACATCGTATCACATAAAGAATACATTGAAGGTAGTTCAAGATTTTCAGAGGCACTTGATAAAGTGCCTCGTAAGAGACTGAGTGAGAAAATGAATACAAAGATAAGAAAACGATTCTCATGTCTCTACATATAAATTCCGAGTTTTACACCCTCCTTGCACTCCCACCATCAAAGTGTTGTCTGTATCTGCACCTCTGGATCTCTTTCCTCAGCAACATTAAGAACTTTATTGTTTGGTGTACACTTCCATTTAGGGATCACTTCCACCCCCCTCCCCTCTCCAATGGATTACTTTACGTTTTGCACTATTGATCTGTAACTGTAACTCTGTTATGCCCACGTGCAGTTTCTTGCATTCTTCCTCACAGTTTGGCTCATTTTATATAATCACCAATCTTAGAAATTGCTCTTCCTACTGATTTTCCAAACGTTCATATGGATGGAAAACAATACAAGTCCAGCACAGATATGAGTCCATTCATCCCTACTTTCTGCCTTGTATCTATGCCGACAACTAACTTTTAAAACCTCATGCCTTCATTTTTTTACTCAGTCTCTTATGAGGCACTTTATCAAATGAATCTGATAATGTTTAAATCCCTCCTTTATGCTCCACTTGCGCATGCTACACAAAAGAGCACAATTTTAAAAAAAGTAAGCCAAATTAATACAGAGAGGTTTATTGCATTTTCTGAAAAACACAGAATTCTTAATATAATGCTGTGTACAGTCAGTATACTCCTCCCACTCCCGTCCCATCAAAGATTTAGCCCATTGTATTTGCTGTTCATTACCTGAAACAGCACACGCCAAAATACTCTTTATGCTCTGTGATTCTGTTACAGGTAACGAGTTCCTTCTCTATGTGGTACAGTGAGCCTGACTTGCACGTGTTTTCTTGCAGATTTCAGTTGCATTGTGTCTTTTGTTTGACATGTGCTGTTTCAACATTCTCGACTAAAAACAGAAAAAGGTCAAACCAGTGCTTCCATCACTGGTGTCCACACACCAACTCTGGGGCATCAAAATGATAGCTGCCTTAAATGATGCCCTTCCTCGGTCGGTAGTGTTCCGATTGCCTACAATTGTTTCAGCACAGTAGTTTAGTCTACTCTGATGCACAATGATCCCCATTCAGAGCCCTAATGGACAATTCACAAAAACAAGCTCATATAGCCAGCGCCCGAAAAATACCCCAGGTCATACATCCCTCTCTGCAACGTCTCATAGGAAACCTTTGATGGTGCATTTGTTAGACTTGCCAAGTTAAATCCCTCTTTCTCATGTCAATGAATTCAAAAGGCAGCCAGTGCATCAGATTCACAGGCCCACAGGAGTAAATGGAGATCAATTCATTCAAGACTGAATTTTCTTTACAACTATTGCACATTAACTTTTTTTTAAAAAAAGTGTGTAAAGCAGAGGCATAATAGGTAGTAACGTAATAAGTTGTGTTGTTTTCGGGAACAAAATGAGTTTTACCTTCTTTAGTCAACAAAGATTTAAACTAATTTTAAATTAACATTGAAGTAATTTTAGTGTCTGTTTAAACCATAAAACACCTAGCTACAATGTATTAAATTGATAAGGTACGTTGATTTAAAAATTACTTATGAGTTGGAAGTATATACACATAACCAATTCACTACACCTTTATTCTTGTTTAACAACCGGGAGACACATTTCCATTAGCCAGACTTTTTAAAAATGTAGTATAAAATATATAGTGTTTTATTCAACACATTGCGTGTTCACATGCTCAAGGATTTTACATTCCATTAGTGTCTTCTTCACAACAACAACAAAAAATAATGTTTTTTTTCTCTCCATCCCCTTTTCAAGAGTCATCTGAGAAAGAAAGGATCTCCTCCCCTTTAATCCCGACAATAGTTTCAATTTGCCTCCTTTCCCCCCCCCCTCTCCTGGAAGCTGTTCCCCTCCTGCTCTGCTCTTGCTTCCTTTACAGATGTGCAGGAGTGCTCCTTCCTCCTGTTAAAGAGGCCCTATAGCTCCAAATGCTTCCTTATCCAAAAGCAGATAAACTGGCAATCAAAGAGAGAGAGAGAGAGAAAAAACACACATTCACTTCCTCAACCTTTTTTTTTAAAAAAAACACCCATCTTAACTCAATCGCTCACAAACACCGTTTTGCGTTTAAAATAGGAACTTACTTCCCTGTGTTAAATACAACAAGACAGACCCTCCTCACACGCAGACCTCACAGAAAGTGGCCTAAACCCACACCAAACACTTTTTTTCTCTCTCTCTCTCTCTCGCTTTCCCTGTACTGTACTACCCCCCAACTTCCCCCCCTCACAGCCTCCCCACAGCCCCCTCCCCACAGCCCCCCACCAAAGCTTCGCAGCACAAGGGAGGGACTTAACGAAGGGAAAACCTCGTACCCGAAACCTTGTCTACCTCCTTCGGTGCCAACAAAAACCGAGTCGGGGATCCAGCGTGAACCATGCGAGGTGTGGAGTCTGCACACATTTCAGTGGCAGGAATAAGAGGGGAGTGGGGTGGGAGGGGGGTGTGGGGGGGGGGGGGGGTGAGGGTGGTGGAGAAATTTGCCCGTCTCCTTAAAACTGGGGTCTCTCCATCTGCGCCCCCCCCCCATTGTTTGCTGAGTGAGAGCGCGCCCCCGGTACCCCCCGAGCCCCAGTCCCGGGGAGGCGGAGGACTCCCTCCGGTCGGGCAGGAAAGACAAGAAAAGAAAAAAAAAAGAGAGAGGTGTGAAATCCCAAGAAATTGACTCGAAACTTACTTACGGGCGTAAAACAGCTCGGAACGAGAGAAATCCCTTGCGGAGGCCTCGGTATTTCTCTGCTTCGTTTGTCCACAGCCTTTTTTTTTCTCTCTCTCTCTCTCTCTTTCTCTCTCTCTCTCTCTCTCTCTTTCTCCAAAAAAAAAGGGAAAGAGAAAGGGAACCGACTTAATGTTAGTGCGTGAGTAAGTGAATCAACTAACACACAGCCGCGGAGCAAGTTGAAGTGTCAAATTACATTGGCTATTCTATTACCAAAGGGCCACGCTCGGTGGCTGCCAACAAAATCTGTCCCAGATCTCCACAGCACCGCCGGTCGTGGAGAAGGAGCATTCGGCACAGCGATGCCTTCTTATTTTCCCATTCAGTCTCCACAGCCGACGCTTCGCACCATCCGTTTTTTTTGGGGGGGAGAAAAAGCGAAGGAGAAGGTCCACAAGTCTTGGAGGCGCTTTTCTCTGTCTCTGTCTCTGTCTCTCTCTCTCTCTGTCTGTCTCTCTCTCTGTGTCTCTCTCTACTTCCCCCTTATGACTGACAAATCAGTGAGTGAGGAGGAGAAGGAGGAAAGAGGTTTTGGGAAAATGACAACTACAGCCCCGCAGGAAAATCCAAAGCCGCATCGCCCGTGAAGCGAACGCATCGCGGGAGCTGCGACTACTTTAAAAGCCTTATTAATTTTTTTGTGCGTGGCTTTTTTTTTTGGTGGTGGTGGGGAGGGGGGGGGAGGGGGGGGGGACACGTTTGCGTATTAATCCGTTTTAAGAAATAAACTTCAGAACACGTACCTCTCAGCTTTTATATGTATACACACATATATATATATATATGCACAGTATATAAAAAAAACTCCCTTTCTTAAGGCTTTGGAACCAATAAAAAGGAGAGGGAGGGGGGGGAGGAGGTGAGTTAAGAGGGGGTGATGGGTCTCTCTCTCTCTCTCTCTGGAGTTGTTCTGTGTGTTTGGTGTTCTGGGGGAGGATTGCTGAGAGGGTTTTCCCTAAATCGTGAATTACCGAAAGGCTTTGCTCCGCTCAGCTCCGACACAGAGAGGGAGAGTCTGATCCGGTTTTTACAGACTGCTCTGTCGCTCTCGTCTCCGATAGAAAAGCGTCTGAATAACAAAGACATGTTTGAGAGGAGCACTGGGTGTGTGACGTCAGGGAACAATGACGGTGCCAGCGATTGGGCTTCTGCCTTCGCTGCTCAGAGCTGCTGCTGCTGCTGCTGTGAAGGAGGTTACTCTCTCCCTCTCCCTCCCTCCCTCTGTCTGTCTGTCTGTCTGTCATTTCCAGGGCTTTGCTTCACTCACTCACTCACTCAACTCACACTCACACATTCCTTCCACACGCATTCTGTGAAGGGCAATCATATATTATATATATATATATATATAAAAACAAGTGAAGTATAAACAACACACACACACACACACAAAAAGAGCAAACTGAAAGGTTGGATCAGATCATCGCGATTTGTGCAGTGTGTTTTATTGTTAATCTTTGGGGCGAGGGAGAGGTGGACGGTGGTAAAGAAAGTAGCGAGCAATTTGGTGCAATTGTCGTATGTGGAGACAGAAATCCACTTGCATCTATCCACTTGCATCTACCTACATTCCACATTTCTTATGCACTCTGAAGGACAAGTCCTTACAGTTGCAAAAAGCCAAGCTGGCATGTTGACTCGCCGTTAATACTGCAGGCAGCCAAATATGTATGTCTTAATAACGCGTACATGTGTCACTCGTGATATTTGGACTCCACTCGCAGCTTCACAACGGCATTCCAAGCACTCTCTCTCTCTCTCTCTCTCACACACACACACACACACACATTGAAGGACAACTAAAATAGTTCTAAAATAAGGTTGCAAGGTTAACGTCAGGCACCATCCCCGAAAAGGATGTTTGAAATAACCCATACAGTGTTTAAAATACATTAGTATTTTTCAGGACTTGGAACTTGCTTAAACACACATTTCACACACATACACACACACTGAAGAAAAGGAGCAATAGTCAAGGGCAAAGCACATACATAAGTACCAACAGAAAGCGATGGGGTTTCGTTCATGCTTCGTTTTATGTAACCTGGTAATAATAATCCCCCTTCCAAAAAAAAACAAATGTCTGAAATTAAATATTATCTCGGATTATTGACAAAGGCTGGCGCTTGCTTCGAGAAAATTACGATAGTGGTTTGGAAAAAAAAGAGAGCATAGATCTGACGTTTTCACTCATTTGAACCTCAATCCGAAAAACACACAGGATCCTGAAGTCTGTTTACCCTAATCCCAGCTCTGCCCACATGTAGGAAACAGCAGAAGCCCCGACACCCACTTCCGAAATCCACACGCGTTTGGAGTCTTCGGAAAATACATTCAATGTTGGGCTTTTCAAAGCATCAGTAACCTACTGACTGGGCAACACAACACCGGGGTTGTTTGGGGGTTAGTTTGCCTTCACGCCCTTACCAAACCCGAAGGATAAAATAACTGGATTTAACACACTCCTCCCCCCCAAAAAAAAGTTTTAAATGAAAAGCTAGGTTTAACATTTGTTCCTATCATTAAAGTAGATTGCTTGCGATTAAAAAAACAGTATCCTCCCACACCCCTGTGTTTTTGTAGCACTGAGTTATACTGTGTACATGTAAACCATCAAGCCCTGGTTATTTCGATGGGTAAGTTCAAAATCTGCTGTATGAAAGAAAAAAAATAACTAACCATCCCACCATTTTTAAATGCCATACTATGAACTTTTCTAAAGGCGGAAGAATTTGAAAAGTAATTCAGCAAATTCGTTCTTTTTAGGAAGAAGCGACTGGGTTAGATCCCAGCATTTGGGGAGGGGGGGGGGGGATTGGTGGGACTGGACTGATGTCAAGGGCATAGTGTTTGTCAAGACTCTCCCAAATGTACCTTTCTCTGGATTCCAGGAGTTCTCTCGTTCGATGGAAATACAAATCATACATTTCATAAATATTATTTTAACAGCCATTCCGCTTTAAAACACGTTCCCGCACCACCACCACAACAAACACACACACACACGCACACGCGAGGTGGTGATACAAAGTACTGTAGTTGCACGAATTGGGATTTGCAATGCTGATGAGGAAAGGCAATGTGATTTGAAGGTCTGACCGAGTGTGTTGCAGACTGACTGACTGACTGACTGCCGAGAGTCTCGGCTCCCGAGTCTGGCTGCAAGTGATAAAATTATGCCGAGGCTTTTTTAACGTGAGAGCGGATAGCCAGCAAAAGTTTCCGCCGGCTTGACTCAGTCTCGAGTCTGCCTGACACTTTTATGGGGTAATCTGATCACTGGACTGGTGGGATAAGTTGAAAGCAGGGAGCTTTGACTCAGAACTCGCCCGGACTTTGTCTTCAATCCGCAGTGAACGTGGATCAACTCACAGTGGGCTCTTTTTGGCAGAGACTGGATTTAAGATTTGTGGAAAAGAAGAGGAGGAGGAGGAGGAGGAGGAGGGAGGGGGAGAGAGAGAGAGGGGAGGCACCAGTAATCACCAGCACACCAGTAATCACTTTAGCCACAACACTGGTTAATAAACACGTAGCCACAAGCAGATGTGTTGCCTCGGTCCGAGGCAGATGTTGAGTACAGCACAAGGAGGGAGGGAAGGAGGGAGAGGGAGGAGGAGGAGAAGAAGAAGGGAATCGGCAGTCTATTAGAAAAGAAGCGAACGCAGGAGTGCACCATTAAGGCTAAAATACAACAGGGAAATGAATAAATAGGCAAGAGGCCAGGCAGGATCGATTCACTCTAAAGAAGGGAGGTAAACGTGTTAGGATTGTTTGGAGGGAGGGAGGGTGAGAGGAAGAGTTGATGCGGGGAGGAACGAATACTGTGGAGTAGATGCAGATCATTTTCTTGTTCTGTTTTGTTTTAGTGGAGGGGGTGGGAGGAAAAAAGGCGCAAAACACGCGCAAAAAAAAAATACCAGCTAAGCTGGGGAGGGGAGGGGGGGGAGAGAGCGCTGCCAGAACCTCATGCTGGTTTCCTCACAGAGAGAGAAGATGCAATCAAACTATGCACAAAGGGGAAGTGCGTGCATAAAGCCAACCGTTCCCCCAGGCTATAGGAATAAAGGGAATCAATAGATGAAAACACATGAGCTTAAGCCTATTTCTGCCATCCATTTCACCGAGCTGCTGGCTTTAAAGATCTGTGCAAATATTAACACGCGAGCATGAAGGTTTCAGAGCCAGGGAATGTACGCAGTAGATTTTATATATATATATATATACACATACACACGTGTGTGTGTGTGTGCGTGTGTATGACTTTTTATGGGCTTAACCAGTTCCAATGCTTCTTGTTTCAGACCGAGCTACACACACACACACACACATACACACACAGTGAAGGGCTATCAGGGCAGCTGATACGGAGGACAGGATGATTTTTTAAAAATTATTATTTCGAGCACTTAACTTGGAATTGCAGGCCGATTCCTCTCCGGAAAACAGACCTGGTAAAAGGAGGAGGAGGCGAGGGGGATTTCGAGTACCAATTCAGGACAGATAACCCTTGCAGACTGCAACTACTCCTTCACAAACTAACTTGCTCGCCAAAGTACAAGTTTCCGATCCCCCCCCCCCACCCCCCAACCACGCACACATATACACTCAGTGCACCAATTTATGCGAGTCTTGGTGAGACGGGAGTTTTGCAAAAAAAAGAAAGGTTACTTGAGTTTAAAGTTAGCAACCTCAAAAGCCCAGAACTATTGCAGCTTCATTTCAATTTTAAAATATGGCTGGGATCGCCACTTAAAATGCGGGCACAGTGTAGCTAAGCCAAACTGGTTTTATCGGAGTGGGGGGGGGGGGGGGGGGGGGGTGCTGTGGGGATCCGATTTCTGGGAGGGTAAAGTCAGGGCTGAATTACACTAGTTTCCAGATCTTGAACAGTGTTTCCATTCAGCTGCTGGGAGTCGTTTGCAATGTTTGCACCTGAGTCCAGGTACATCTTGGGCTAAATATAGATTCAATGCTACGAGTGTTTTGCTGCCAAACAGTGCCTAGAATTGCTGGATACTATACTTTTTCCAGTTAGCCACTCACATCATAATTTTTTTGAAAAAACTAGGGAAGGGCACTTTGTGTTCTGAATAAAGGCGTAAATGTGTGTGTGTGTGTGTGTATGGTGGGGGGGGGGGGGGGGGGGGAGAGGGGAGGAGGAGAGAGGTGTGGTACGTGATGTGAAATGGTCACCGGTGATAATTATCACATCAACATACCCACATCTCTTCGCCCCTTCTTTCTTCCACTTAACAGTATCTGAATGCAGTATACGGTTATATCCAGTTCTAAATTACAAGCTGGTTTACATGAATTGTGGTCCCCTAGTACAGTGGTTAGCGCGCTCGCTTCACAAGCGAGAGGACCAGGTTTTGATTCCCTAGCGGGGCAAAGCCTTAAACAAATTTCCTTACTCCACACCCCTCTGTTCACCAAGCAATACGTAGAAACCTGTTTGTTAGTCGATTGGCAAATCACTAATAATCTCTCCAAAAAAATGTGATCACTCAATCTATGACTGTTTGTGGGACACTGCTGTGCGCATTTGGCTGCCAAGTTTCGCTCACATAATACACAGTGAATTCACTTTACAATATAATA